AGCATTCTTATCTTTAGTTGTATTTGTTATTTCATAATATTTTTGATCAACAAAATTAGCTAAATCCCATGCTGTAAAATCAGCTGATTTATTACGACAGCGTTCAATTGCAAATAATTTTGCTTCTAATTCGAGTTCGGGAAATCCTTCATAAAAGTTCTCGATACGCTTTCCCCCTCGATTATCTGTGAAAAACTGATCGAAATCACCAGATATAAAAATATCAGTCCAGTTCTGGCATGTTTGACTTGACAATGCACCAATTTCTTTCATAAATAAATCACAATCCCGCCATGTTATTTTAAAATGTCTTAAACTCATGTACAACAAAACACTTATAAATTTATAACTACAATTATTTTTACATATTTCAAAAATGTCTGATATATCATTTAACGTAACTTGATCATTGAAGTTTGTTGACATATCAAAAGAGTCTTCGTTCATTTTCATTTCTTCCTCATCTGATTCTGTGGAACTTTCGTTACTGTGATCAACAGTTTTGTCGAGTAAACCTAAACGTCGCAACGAAATCTGCACGTTGCGAGAATGAGAACGACGTCTTGGCAATTTCGACATATGATATGGAAAATTGTTATAATAAAAAACAAGAAATTGATCTGAAATATACTGCTACGAGCTATTTTATTCTTATTATCAATTTGAAAAATAAAGAAGAAATATTTAATTTATATGAAATTAAACGACAATAAACTGATCTGTAACCATTTTACAAGTGAAAAATGAGTAATAAGTTTATTAGAATCTATATCGTTCATATGATTCATCATTATGTATCGTGTTGGAGAATAACTATCGCCGTTCTTGAAATGAAAAAGATTCGCAAGAAATAGAGTTCGCTTTAGTGTTAACCATACGCATAGTTGCGTAATAGAAAAAACTAAACCGTTTACAACTCTCCCTTCTCTCTTAAAAATTTATACTCCCTAAAGGAAAATGATATAACAAATATTATGCCATTCCTCGAAATGAACTTCTACATGACTATTCATTTTCAAATCCACTTTTGGAACTATTGATATAGCATGTTTAGATATTCATATAATTTCCTTGTGAAGCATTTAATCGTTTTTTTAAAGAGAAACATCGCGATATGTACATAAGGAACAGCTTATCCAATGACTCTTAGATATTGGACAAACTGTTTGAATTGGTATTAGCATTTAGGATAAATAGAAGTTGACTAAAAAGATTATTTGTTTCACGTTTGATGAGATTCGCCACATAATTTTACATATGGCAATGTATTTTAAAGGGATTTGAAGAAAAAATGAAAAATCTATAGAAAATTCGTTTTCTTGATTGCAGTGCAAATCAAAGAAATGACTATACTATCTAGACAAAAGTGAAATATTTAAAAAACAAAAGTTATACTTTTGAAGCGCAATGTCTGCTGGTTCTAATGGCATATAGAACAGGGCTATATCTTTTAACAGAAAAAACTAGATAGACTTTCAAAAATGTTGACAAGATGTCATTTTTTGCATATTTTGGTCGATATTCTTTAAGAAATTCCATAGATAAATTTTCGCAAAGTGATATCAAAAATAGGTTCAGTAGACGCAGCTTTTCACGAGGAATCCGAATATACCATTTTTAAAATTCAAACAGAACGAAATTTCTATTAAAATTTCAAAAAACATTGAAGATATCCATATTTTTAAGAAAAATGCGATTTTTCAACTGAATTGAAAAAAGTGGAAATTTTTTCACATAATCATTTCGAAAAAAAATTCAAAGACATATTCTTACTCAGCTCGACGAGCTCTATCTAATGGTGTATAAAAGAAAGAAAAAAAAAATTGCTTTAATTTTGGATTATTCCCACCTTACGACATATTCTATTCACGACACATTTCCCGTGATTGAATCTGCGACACTATATCTTGCGATGCATAACTGCAACACATTTTATTTTAATGTGAAATAATCAAGTAATTTCGCTTACCTAATTATACATGACAACAACATCAATGATAAGAATACTGAAATTAATAATAATCAATAATAACATACTCAAAATTGATACTTAATATAAAACTTAAATAAGCGATCTTGATTCTTAATCAACTTTAAATCACAACATCATTATTTAGTTCACGCTATTCATATATCATCAATAGAAACAACCAACAAAAACAAAACATCAACAACAAACTGATTCTTATTGAAATATAACCACTAAAGTTGAAAAATTTCAAATATAAATTGTAAACTAACTTTTTTCTCTGCATAAAACATTTCACTATATCATTCCTGACGATATACTTAGAATAGAGCACAGAAGCTCGCATAATATTTTATTTTATGTTTTGAAATGAAATCATGTTATCTAGAGCAGTTATTTGCTCATTTTTTTCTTATTTTTTTTTCAATATTTTTATATGGTTAACATGTTTTGCCTCTCGATATCTCTGTTTTCGACGTGATTTGTTTTGACTTTTTCTATGCCTACCAAGTAATCAATGCACACATCTTTATTGAGACATTACAGATGAATAAGCCATGATGGAGCGCTGAAGCATAAAGCAAGATAAACATATCTTCACCTATCGAAAAGAACGACCAGTGATTATTTGTGCGCATATACACGTAGTACCAATATGTCCGTTGAATATGAGTTCAAAACAACAGAAGCCCTTGATCAATTTACAAATGTTAATATGGAGATTATTCAAAGCAAGGCACATGAAAATACTAACAATATCAGCAAATACAATTCGTCTTACTTTGAAAACGATTCTCAAGATGATCAGGTATATATTCATGTCCTTGTCAATGATGACAGTTTTCTCTAATTTTGTGGTGGCAATTTAAATTTTCTTTCAATTTAAATAATACGTAAATTAAGTTATCCGTAACTTAAAATTGAGATTATCAGAGGTCCCCTCTCGCTTCTTTCTTTTAGTTCGATTTTATTTCGAATGATGAGGGAGCAAAAAAGAATCAAAGAATGTGAACAAAGGGAACGAAAACAGAACAGAGAGAGAAGAAGAGAATGCCAAAGACAAACACAGAGAAAACGGATAGGAACAGCTGAAGCGATGTGAAGGTATGTGAACAACATGCCTGTAACAGAGTTGAATTCTAATTTGAATATCTAAATGAATTTAAATTTTCGGCAATTTATTTTATTTTAAATTTCAATTCTTTGAATTTCGTAATTTACTAAAATAAAAAATACATTAAATTATTCTGCTTTCTTTTGGAGCTCAATTGTGGATTTATCTCTTATTTGCAACATGACGTTTATATATAAATTAAGTGTTGCATAGTATTTTCTTCCACTCTATAGTTCTTGATCTGTCGAAAGACCCTACTCTGTATCGAAATAAGTTTTTCAAAGAAATATCAATAACTTAGTTCATGTCATAGCGAAATGACACATGTTTGAAATATTTTTCTCAAAGTAGTAATTTTTCAATAACCACAAGTAATTATTAATTTGATGTCAGCATAGACTTATGTATGGAGAAGTACTAATTTTCAGATGTCATAAAGTTCTCTCCCTCTTTTATTAGCTCATGCATTAACGCTATTATTTCAGTGTTTTCCAAATGCATTGAATATGTCGGAGTTGACGACAATTCTATGTTCTGGACTTGGGCAGAATTACAGTTCCTCAGTTATCATTAAAAAAGTTTTTCTTCGGCATTTCACTGTTACAGAATGCTCAATCTTCTTTATCTGATTATTTGCATTAATAAATGACTAGAAAATACAAAGAAGGCACCATGAAACCTAATTAAATTAGACGTGATTGATTGAATATGCAATGTGGGGCTAAAGTTAAGAGACGGAAATTATTATTACATCAGCAGACACCAAGTAGCAGGGAACGAGAAATTCGTCACCAATATCTTGACAGGAAAATACGATTTCGGTGGAAGAATGATTTTTCACAGAACTTGTCCAACGCTCTTCGTGATGGAGAAATCCTAGTCAGTTATCGGGTTAGCAAAGTACATCACAATAATTTCTGGGTATCGCAGGAGTATTTCAGAGAAATAGTGTCTTTACATAGAGAGAAATCAAGGAAACACATTTCTAGAAACAGGATGCCAGATTCAGATTCCTCGATCTCGGGAAATTTTGAGCAAGATGTATACAAAATCATTATTTCACCGAAATACCCTTCTCATATCGACCTTTTAGGGTGACGAATTTCTCGTTAACCCTTTACTTGGTATCTGATACTGTAATTGTAATTTCCCTCCCTTACCTTTAGCCCTACATTGCATATCCAATGAATGACACCTAATTTAATTAGCTTTTATGGTGCATTCTTTGTATTTTCTAATCATTTATTAATACAAATAATCAGATAAAGAAGATTAAGCACTCTATAACAGTGAGACGACGAAGAAAATTTTCTAATGATAACTGAGGAACTGTAATTCTGTTCAAGTCCAAAAAATACAGTGCTGGTCATAAGTCCCGACTCCCCTTGAACTGCAGACTTTATAGGAACTAGACAGTTGAAATTTTGTAGGTATATACTCTATGATGAACGCTGATCGTCAGCACTACTCGCGCCAAAATTGCTCGAGTCAGAACGTAGTTATAATAGATAGTAGTCATGCTCCTTGTGAAATTCATAATTCGAGAAAGGAAAGACCTATTGAGTCGATCAACATCTCATTGTGTAGTACTCTACTCTAGCTATCTATAGTATAAATTTCATTGAAGTTCATCGAGCCAGTGATGAATTATGACCATTTTACTGTAACCATCGATGTACAAGGAAACCATGTGATATCATTGTGAGACACATAATTCAGTAAAAGCTTAACAGATCTATCTGAAATTTTGCGAAGATGTTCCCTGACAGTTACCCATTATTTTATGAAAGTGTCAGAAGCAAACATTATACTGGAAGAAGATGACACACTAATGTCCATTGAGTTATTCTGAAAGCTTCAGGGAACCTACTTCTCAAGCAAATGTATTTATTTTTCTACTAATAAAAGATCATATCTTGAGCTTCATATTCATACTAAAATATTGATAATTACACTTGTGTTTGATACAATAAAGCAAAACGTTTCATAGCTACCCCTTTTTTCATCTTTTCAGCAAAAATAGAAAAATGACGTCATATGACAATATATCACTAGTAAAATCTTTTTTAACACCTCAGAACTCTTCAGAAATATTAAAAACAAAACCTTTGGAGCTATTTATGAAGTTGCAAACGACTACTTCATAATAAATCATGTGTTGCACACATGAAAAACTCATACTTCCTTTAAAACGCTATATTTTTGAAACGGCAGCCATATCGATTTGACTGTGGTACATTTCGACATATTAATGAAGAATATTATTATAAATATCAGTAATTCTAAGCGGAATATGTGTTTTTCTAACGCAGGCAGGTAAATTTTATTATTCTGCCGAGCTTCGAAAGAGCCGAGAAAAGACTGTATTATTGATATTTTGTCATATGACGTCATTTTTCTATTTGTGCTGAAGAGATGAAAAAAGGGGTAGCTATGAAACGTTTTGCTTTATTGTATCAAACACAAGTGTAATTATCAATATTTTAGTATGAATAT